AGAAATGCCAACTTTGGTTATGTTTACACCAATTTTTCTTCTAATTTCTTTATAACTGTAGCCTGGTTCACTTAATAATACTATTTTACATCGCTTTCTGGGCAACCAGTCAACTCTTTGCACCATTACTTTAATTTTATTACATTTTACAAGCTCACTAAATGAAAGAACGCAAAAAAAACCCCAACCAACTTGATAGCGATCACAAAACACTCTGACAAATGTCCTCCTATCAGCTTCAATACATGACATCAATAACTGAATCCTACTGTGATCTGATTGGCTCATTGCCAAAACAAGATGACACCTGATTGGCTCTCTAAACACTTATGTCATTGGCTACAATCAGATGAAGGAAAACTACCAGATATCAACCTAAGCAAATTGTGCTTCCTTTTTCTGGTTATTTGGCTATAACGTTTCATAGAATACAGTATAGATAATTGAACAAACTTTGTTGCATTACATTCTTGATTAAATTATCTTTCCATTGATATATAATTTTATGGTACTACTCCAAGAAAGTGGTGTTATTATCCATCAAACCTCAAAAGTATACTTTCCCCAAAGGGTTTCCACAATTTTGGCCGCTACTGTATATATATTTCCTTCACTTCTCAGTTCAGTAGTATAATTTATGTAGATTTCTAACTTGTGTCATTTTAGTGCTGCTGCTGTTAAACAATTGAAAACTGGAACTCTTTGTATATCATCCAGAAAACTGCCAATAGATTTTTCTGCCTGTCTATTCTGGGAACAATGTTCAGGGTTTTGAACTATGTTAAATGCTGATTGCAGCTGGAAGAGAAAAGTCCTACGCATTGCTCAAACTGGTGATACTTAAGTTGGCTTTATTTATTTATTTATTTAGTATTGAAACTTCAATTATCATAAAGACAAAAAAAATCTGGTCAAACATCAGGTTTCCTAGGATTGATGCAGTTGTATGTGTGAATATGAGCATTAGTATCTATAGCAGTGGTTCTCAACCTTTCTAATGCCGTGACCCCATAATACAGTTCCCCATGTTGTGGTGACCCCCAACCACTTATACATCACCGGGTGCCAGGGGCGTGGCCAAAGAAAAGGGGGGAAAATGGCAGACAGCCTTGTTTGGTGACCCCCGTGAAGTGGTCGTTCGACCCCAAATGGGGTCCCGACCCACAGGTTGAGAACCATTGATCTATAGAATATGTGTGAAAGGCTGATTGTCTTCAGTTAAATCAAGGCTGAAGAAAGACAGTCCCTACATGCTGAAGGGGTTTGAGAGAGGTTCTGCCTCCTGGAATTTCTTTTACCCTATTAGTTAAACAGACTTCTGGGTTTAAAAACAAGATGAATTCTTTTCCCGTTCAGTGTATCAACAAGCTGAATAGTTATTTTAACAGCATTCTCTCCCTCTCTCTCTCTTTTCTTGTGAAAAGAAAAAAAATCATTATTGCTCATCCTTTGCCCATCCATTGCCATCTTCATTTGTCATTCATAATTCACCTTCTCTCTAAGCACAAATGGGCTGAATGCCTCAGGAACAAGCAGCCTTGATATTGAGTATCTTGTTATCATGTTGCCCTGTCCTGCCAAACATCTTTCTTCAAAGCCTTCTTTGCTCTCTTTAAGTTACAATTAACAACTAGGATTGCAGTCTGTGTGCTGATTTCAATAGAGAGGCAAAAAAAAAAAAAAAGGGGGGGGGGCAACTTGCTGACTGTTCAGATTTAACCTGGCATATGACAGATCTATCTTAAGGAACAGATTTAGTCTTTTAATAAATGTCATAAATGTAAGTAGAAAAAGGGTAAGTTTCTTCATATTTGTATATCTGGAAAAGAGTTATAAACCACAGCGTAGTTGCTAGACTTTGCTTATAAAATGCATGATATAGTATGATAGATCAATCTCCTGTAAGTCCTCGGCTTACGACAACAATTAGGGCCAGAATTTCCACTTCCAAGAATCAGGAAGCTGGTTCGTCCTGAGAAATGGATTGATATCATGCTATGAAGCAACTGGCTTGAGAATGGAAGGAATGGTGCTTTTAACACAGACACTGAGCTTGGGACCCTTTAGAACCATTGTGAGTTGGTATAAAGGGATAAAAAACAGCTTAGCTACCTTGTTCACCTAATACTAAATTGGCAAGAAGATTAGGGCTTGGCATTGTGATTTCTATAGGACTTACATCAACAACCTTGAAACAAAGTTTTTGAAAAGGACTATTTCTCATCTTATGGATGCTAGTAAGACCCTATTAATTGCACTTTTACAGGCTGAACTTGAATCCCTGTTGTTCAACATGGACAGCTACTTTAGTTGCTAAACAAAAATGAATCGGCCTATCCTTCTAGGAAGATTCTACATTCTTTCTCTTGGGAGTAGCCATAATTTTGAATTAAAGTTATATGTTGATGCAGCAAACATCTGCCTATCCATATGCTTTGATTGTTTTCATAATCAAACTCTTTTGCTAAAGCCATTGCACACTGCAAACTACAAAACAGTAGGAAAAAGGAGTCACATTGCTTTTAAAGTGAACCCCTAACTGAACCTCTAGGCTTCAGTGCGGTGTGAGAGAACTCAGATCTCTATTTGTTTTTCTTCCTTCTGTTTGTTGCTCTGCTTGTGGAATTGGCTCAACTGTGGTCCCTGTGGCTGCTGACAAGACATATCCATGCACATGTCGATCTGTGCCCTTCTGTGCTGCCTGTGGGCTATGGAAAAATAAAAACTACCAGACAGCTGCAGTACAGCCACTACTAAGAGGAAGGTGGAGTAGAAAGACTGATTTTTTCCAGGAGGGCTGCATTAGGGATGGGTTAACTCACTTCAGTATTGGAGAACTTTGTGTCATCTAGGATTTCTCCAGGGTAATATAAGGTGCAGGTCTTTCTCTTTCAGTCTACCTTTCATTTTCAAAATAGCAAGCTAAGTTGTATCTTCCTGGAATAATTGTTTTCACATTGTTCACTGGGGGTTTTTAAGAAGAGACTGGACAGTCACTTGTCTGAAATGGTGTAGGATCTCTTGCTTGAGCAGGGGGCTGGACTAGAAGACCTCCAAGGTCCCTTCCAGCTCTATTCTGCTTTATTGATTGATAAGCCTCAGTTCTCTGCCAGTTTATTTAGAATTTTCTTTCCTGCAGAGTTGTTGCTATCTGTTTCTATAAGAACCCTCTTCTTGAGAGTCTGTTTGCTGATATCAAAATTGGGGGCTTATTTTTGTATACATTGCATAAAAAGCTGTATTAGTTTGACATTTACATTTGGCTTCAAATACTCTGTCCTGAATTTTGTTATCTTTTCTTGTCAATATTCACAGGTAAAAACATAAGACTAAAAAGTTATTTAGTATCAAGAGCAAATAATATATATAGCTCTGAGCTGAACTATGGAGTCCTTGATACTTTTTGAGCTTGGTTGTTTCCTTACATTTTGTTATCCAACTAGTTAGCACAGATGTTGCCTCATCGGGTAACAAAACATGTGCAAAAGAACAACCAAGCTCAAAGCGCACCAGAGACTTATTTGTTGAACCTTTGAAAGCTGATCAGGAAAATCATTCAAGTTGCATTTTAAAAAGTGCAGCAAGCTGAAAGCACAAAATGGACACTGAGTGGAACCTTTTTTCTTATGATTCATTATGTGCTTTAAAAATGTAATTTAAAAATGTATTTGCAGAGAGCAATAATATATTTGTACTGTATAGATTAAATGTAAATAATTTATATATTTTGTCTATAGCACTTGCATTTTCTTGAGGCAATATTCAGTCTTTATGGAAGACATCCAGCTATGCATATGTATCTATATATGCAGATATTTTATACAAACTGATATAATCCATCAAACAAGACTTCTTTAAGATGAATGGAGGATATAGGGTAAGAGGCCATAAATTTATAATGAAATCACTTGTGCTATCAGTGTAAACTTTTGGCCAAGCATATTTTTCAGATGAAAATCTTCCACTACAGGTCACAGGTTCTTCAACATCAGCATGGAACAAAGAACAACACACAGGATCACTAGAAGATAGGTTTATATATAATATATATTTAATTTTAAAAATAAAAATTCCATTGCAAGGCTAGAAGTCTGTACAAACTACAAAAATAAATCTTTCTTTTTCATATAAATAATTTATATGGCAGGACAACATTATCAGGTTAACAGATCTCTAGCACACCCACTACATACTCTCACACGCGCACATACGCAAATACACATACAATGTGTCCACTTTTCATCATGTTTCACTGGTCCCAGATTTGATGAGGGGGAGGGATTGATTTTTCAGAAGCACTCAGTTCTTTTTAGTCAGTGGATGGAAGGAAGGAATTTAATGGTGGGAAAACCTTGATCTAAATCAGATATGTCAAACAAAAGACCCGGGGGCCGGATGCGGCCCGCAAAATGGTTTCATGTGGCCCGTGAAGCCATCCTGGAAACATGAGGGAATGGCTCCTGCTGTCTTGGCCCTGGCCCAGGCCGGCCAGGACCCAATGTACAATTTTGTGGTGACCATCTATGCCAGTGTTTCTCAACCTTGACAATTTTAAGGCATGTGGACTTCAACTCCCAGAATTCCACAGCCAGCAAAGCTGGCTGTGGAATTCTGGGAGTTGAAGTCCACATGCTTTAAAATTGTCAAGGTTGAGAAACACTGATTTATGCTGAAACGCATTCAGTCTTAGCTCCACAAGGCCATCTAGAAACAGCGAGGAACCAGCCCCTGCTGTGTTGGCCCCACCCTCTGGGTGCATGCTGGGGAGGTGTCACCCTTTGTGAGGAATGAAAATATGGATCATGCCTTGGCGTTTGCCCTGGTCCCACCCCCTTCTTCCAGAGACCCTCAGATCTGTCCCACTCCTGCCCAGGCCCCAACAGGCACCCTTGACGTGAATGATGTAGAGCTGGCCATGCCCACCCAGTAGGCCACACCCACTCCATCCACGCCCACCCAGTAGACTGCACACACCCTGGCCACACCTACCCGCCCCCCCCCAGGGCAACCACAATGCTGATGCGGCTCTCAATGAAATTGAGTTTGACACCCCTGATCTAAATGCTGGCCAGGTCAGTGGCCCTATAGTAAATTAGTTTTGGGAAATTTCTCTGGACTCCAGAAATCAGTGATGGTTTAAAATAAACTGAATGTGCTCATTTTAACAAGAGACATAAACCTACTGAAGTTTTCACCTTACACGGATGTGAAAATCTCAGAAGTATATTCCCTTGGTAACAACAAGTGAATGCAACTTTGGCTGGGAAATAAATTTACAGCAGTTCTTGGTGAAGGGAAGGGGTTAAAGTGCCTGGGGTTTAGAAGGAAGAATGTCAATGGATTCCGACAAGAATCAATTCTTGTAAGAATATGGGTTGATTGTGATAACAGCCTCTGCGCTCAAAGTGATGATATCATTTTTTTTTCTAAGCATGTCACAAGTTCAAGTGAAGCCCTCAGAGTGGCTAGCAATTACACTGACAATGCTTTAAAAAGTTAACTTACTGAACATAATTACACCATGGTTAAAATGGTAAACTATTAGTGTCTAAATGTTGGGCAGCATCATGCCTAGAAGTCTATAGGGAGGGATTTTCTGACTTCTGAAATCCCCAAATCAATAATCAGGATCAGCTAAAACGATTTACCGGCCTTAACTGGTACATTAATTTTGTTTTGAATCACTTCATCTTTTTTGTAAGAAAGCTGCATGTGTTCACATGTATGTAAATAATAGGTTAGATTGTTTCTATCTCACAATATCAAAAATCCTTCACTTAAAAGTTTTGCCAGTTGCAGCCTCAGCCTCTAATTTCTTGCAACCTGTGTGGGTAGACAACCTAGTGCCTTCTTCATGTTTTGGACTACAACTCCCACAATTCCTTGCTAGCGGTTATGCTAGGACTAATGGAAGTTGAACTGCGAAATATTTAGAGGGCATTGAGTTGCTTGATCTCCAGTCTATTGGACTGATGTAGGTGACTAATGAAATCATCTAAATCCATATGCCTTGCTTTCTTATTCTTTGTGGAAAATTGCCATGTTTGGCAGGCTTAATATCCAAGCAGATGAAAGAATAGTACATTAAGGAAATTTATCATTTGATTCGATGCTAACTTAAATAGGGAGTAGTTTAACATAAGGAAGTTGGTAACCTCATGTAAATAGACCCAACCCAAAGAAAATATTGCTCCAGCTGCCATCTTTTCTCCTTTGGAAAAGGGCAGAAAGAAAGGAATAAATAAATAATTATAAGCTGTTTTAACACCAGGAAAATTTGTGTTTTAACATATGTGGTATCAGTCATTCTCTTGTGGTGCCCAGACTAGACCTGGCCAGAAACCGTCACTTTAAAGTTCATGGAGAATGCAAGCTGACATTCTGAAAGAGAATGGACAAACCAAACTGTTTTATAAAGCAGTATTGACTTGGTTATGCAGAAACCAAGCCTATATATTGGAATTGGGACTTCTCCTTTAGAAGCTATTGCCGAATGATAATTCATTTTTAATTTTCTACCAAAGAAACTGAATTAGAAGGAGAATTCAAGAACAGAACCTGCAACTACAAGATTAATTTTTAGGCAGGAGATAAACATTTCTGCTTTGACAATTGCACCAAAATCTTACTAAATGGGAGGGGTTTCTGTCAGCTCAAAATATCAAAGGGTAGTTTCATGCATAAAGTTTCTTTTACATAAAAATTTCCTCTGGTATAGGGGAAAGAAATGCTTAAGCCACACTTGGCTACCAAGTGCAGCTTGAGTATTTTGCTATAATCACAAAGCTGAGGAGGCCAATCCATCTCAGCAGAGGAAAAGTATTATCTGTAAAAAGATCTCAATGAGTATGCATGACATCAGCCGAATAATACCATGGAGTGAGTGACCTTATTTCATAACATTCTCTCAGTGAGGGCACTACACAAAATCCTTGTTTCTTCTTTGAGTGTTTTTTTTTCCTAGATATCCTCAATCCTTATGTGCAACACAGGCTTTGTAATCAACGTATGTATGCAACCATTCTGTACTCTGGCATTGTGCCATGTAACAGGAATAGGGATAAATCTATCTTTCTCTGATATTTGAAGCCTGACTATGTTTTTTCCTGGGTGGGGGAAATTTCAAAAACTCTCTTGAATAATCCCTTATTTCTATTAGTCATGAACAGAACATTTAAACACTAATCAGAAATAGCTTAGGGGACATTTGTGTCATAAACATTTTCAGTTGATACAAGAGGCAAGCAAAGTAAGAGAAAGTTTATACAGTATAGGGATGGGGGGGGGGAGGTGTAGGAATAGGATCCAGAACAGTGACATCCCAGATGCTAGGACAGGCAGTACTACTGGTGGGAACCAGAGCAGAATGCAGTCTGTCCCACACAGTTTGCATAGAAACTTAAGACACATCATGCCCCCACCATTGCATTCTCCTTTCACTCCACATTACAATAGGGGTGCTCTCCCTATTACAACTTCACCCTGGTGTTTCCCCTCAAAGGGAAATTGCCACATATTTACTGAGAGAGCCGTGAAAATAATAAAAATAATTATTATAATTATAAGGGGGAGGGTTGGTGTCTCTTTTTATACAGTTTAAAATAATAATAATTATTATAATAATATTAATAAAATAAAAGAATAGCAGCACAATGTGGGAGAGTTCCCCACACCTAGTTGAGTCCTGTTTTCTCCATGGAGGGTGGCTGTTTGGGCAGCTAGCCCAAAGAAGGCCATGAGATGGTTCATAGCTTGTGGAGAATGGTCATTTTCATTTTTCAGATTCAAGTAGGCCTGATATTATATGGGTCACTGGCCCAAACTAAGGGTACAAAATCTAGGCCCTGATACCCAGGAAATCAGAATGCTTTTTGGTGCCAAATACACCTGGAAATGCTGAGATATTCCCCTATCAGCTTTTTTTGCAATATCGATACTGAAGATAATCTGGTCTCTTTGTTCTCAGCTGTACTGATCATGCCCGCAGTTGGTTAGATGCAGTGCAAGAGTTTCCATAAATACAGCAAACTTCACAATCTGTGATGTGGGATGTGTCTGGCCCCCATTCTCACTTGGGATGCCGGCCAGCCCCTGAGGCAAGAGTTCTAGAGCCAGTGACTTGGCTTGGCAAATGTGGATGGCTAATGATTCTGCTTTAGGTCCTGTAGTTCCAAAGTGTCCGATGGTTTGGGGCCAGTTTTTTCAGAGCTATCATCAAATTCAAATCCCTCATGTGTATAGCCCCGGCAAGATCCAGGCAAAGGTGGGTGCAAGGCCAACATCACCGAGGCAGTAGCTGTTACTGTAGTGAAAGTGCCACCAGATCCTGAAGGTGGTATTTTGGTGCTGTGAGTAATGGAGTTAGTCTGAAGAGGATTGGGAGTAGGCTGAGCCAATTGAGACCCTAGTCTGTGATTGGGCTGTTCTTGCTGCTGCAAACAACTTTTGATTTCTGTGACAGATGCTGGCAAATGGCCACCAGGAGTTGTGGATTGGGTCCATTCGGGGCTGCACAATGATAAAGGTGATTCTAGGCTTGTCTTGTAGCTTTTTACCACCTGCACAGGAGAGAAAAGACTACTGTGAGCTAGTTAGGTATAGAAAGAAAGAGCATAGTAACAAAACATTGCTCTGAGTAAGCATTTCTCATGCAGTGCTTCTCGCAAACATTTAGAAATAAAAGCATTAGCTGTACAAGGAAATAATGACACATAATTTGTTGTTGTTCACTGTTTAAAAGGTCACGAGAGAAGACTTTTAAAAAGTGACTCCTCAATATTTCCCATTGTGATACTATTATTTGACTTTGGAATACTACCTAAAGTCTTGTTTTCTCAGTTTCAATGACTATGTCTCAATGTGCTTCTCCAAAGTTAGGTTCTTGGTGCTCTCTGAGCTTGGTAGTTTTCTTGCAGACATTTCATTAACAGGTTAGGTATTATTATCAGATGTGGTCTTCATCGAAAAGTGCCTAGCTCCACAAGTCACCAGAACATAGCAATTGCAACCTACAAAATGGACAATACTTCTGTATGTCAAAAACACCTCCAACAGACTTTCACAATTGTTTAGCATCACTGTAGCATGCAAACCAACAACATTCCTCTAAAACATTTTAAGCAAATCAGAAAACTCAGTAACCAAAGGAAAAAACAAAACAGGTATCATCAACAACATACAATGTAAAGACTGTAACAGCCACTGTGTAGGGGAGACAGATAATATCTACCAACACCAATTGGCCATCAGTAGACATGATGAAATCTTAATACTTGGATAGACTCAACCACAGTTTCAACTGAGAAACTGTTAATATTTTAGATCAACCCAAATCCAAAAAAGCTAGAGAATTCCTGGAAGCTTGGCATTCAAATAAATCAGTCATCAGTAGATACATAGAAATAAACTCCATTTACATATCATTTAAAGGTTACAATCAGAAGCCAAGGAAGGAAATAACCAGCCCAGAACATATCCTTCCCCCCACACACACAAACAACAGCCAATATCCAGCTAAGCAGAAAACTGCACCAGATAAACCAACAGGGAGAAAATGATACCCTAAACAAATAACATCAAGGAGGAAGCAAAGATTGGCAGCATAAACTATTATGTATAAGCAGCCAGCAAAGTCTAATCTCTCTTGCACTAATGATTTTACCTAGCCTGGTAATGAAATGTCTATAAGAAAACAACCAAGCTCATGGAGCATCAATAAATGAACAGTTCAGTCCTGAGTCATATATAATCTCTTCCATTGGCTCTTCTCCACTGTGCATAGAAATATAAGGGGGGAAAACATCCTAAAGCAGCGGTCCCCAAACTTTGCGGCTTGGCAGGGGGTGGAGAGGGGAATCGGGCCACATGAGTGGCAGACTGGCACGCATGTGCGCAGCTCAACTTATGTGAGCAGTAGACTGGCACACATGAGCACACATGAGCACCCCCTTGCACACCGCACCGACACTTGCACCATTCAAGCTGCATGTGCACGCGTGCTCGTCGGCCTGCTGTTCGCACGGCCTGGTTGCAAAGAGGCCACAGCCTGGTAGTAGGCTGCCGTCCAGAGGTTAGGGACCCCTGTCCTAAAGGATTAGAGATAAAAAAAATCAACAATCTGATTTTGTCCCTCCTCCAATTAAGGAAGGAAAATATGCTCTTATTGGAGCTGCAATCTAGGAGCCTTTCTTCTTCTCTTTTTATGATATAACACTGACTATCCAGAAAAACCACGCTGGCTGTTTTGAGCCCTGATGGATACTTACAGTGATTTGGGGGAAATTAGGACTTTTGCTGGCCTTGACCAAGATCTGTGATTGTGCTGGGGAGATGATATATGTGCTGCGGTCATCTTCACCAGTCTCTGATGCACTAACTGTCTCTGAATAGTACTCTGAGTCTGAGGAGTCACCGAAAGCATTTCCGTGTTGGCGAATGTAGAAGCTATGATGGTTGATAGGTGGTGGGACAGGTGACGGTGTTGGCAAGCGGCTGCCATTATCTGCTGGAGTGACCTGTATGATGAAAAGAAAGAGACGTGTACAGAATAAGGGAACTAAGCAAAAGTTCTCCAGATATTGTGCTTTCAAATGTGACCCTCTAAGCAACCAGCTCAGTCTGAGGTCATTACCAGAATTGCTTAAAAGTTCTTATATCTGAAGAGCACTTAACTGAAAAAGGCAACTCTAGTAGTAGTAGTAGTAGTAGTAGTAGTAGTAGTAGTAGTAATAATAATAATAATAATAATAATAATCAAATGGTAAACCACAGCTGGCATATATTGCTCTTAATTTTATTAATCTAAATTGGCATTTCCAATAAGAAAATGACATAAGACCTCTGGGATGAAATAGTGCACATCAGAACATCTATATCCCATTGTATTGTTTTCTCAAGGAATCACAAACTTGGAAAGAGTCCAGTTGCCTGATTGGTTCAGGAATCCAGATTAAAGCAATACCAATCTTCTGCATGAACATATTCAGGAAGGAAAGCTTGCCTTCTCTTTTGGGGATTGATGCTCTTTCTATAAATAATTATTTTTTTAGGATTCACCTTTACTCTGCATCATTATTCAATTCTCCGTCACCAGGTACTTAAAAATGTGATTATATCTCTGACTCACGTAATCTACATTTCAAGGCTAAAAATTGCCAGTTCCTTTATCCCTTCCTTAAAAGATTTAATTTTGAAATCTGGCATAACTTTTGTTGCCCTTGTCTGCACTGTTTCCAAATGTTTGTAATTTTTCTTAAAATAAGGTGGCCAAAATTCAATCCATTCTGACAACGCAGAATATAAAAGAACAATTCCTCTTTTGTTTCTGTTTTAAGCTTCCTGAGCAGAAATTACGCTTCAAATGGCGCAATCCAAAATTTCATAGTCAATCATTTTGCTGAAATCAAAGCATAGAGGGCAAACATAATGAAATATATATTCCTCTTCTCTGAGAAGGACACGACTTCGCAACTAACAACAACAATTGCTCTGTCACCTTTATGAGCAACTTTTTCTCTTTCCTTTTATTTTGAAGAATATATTTGAAGAAACCACTACAGAGTCAGAAAACTGAGGTTTTTTTTTATTGTTATAGTTCTTAACATCCCTCAACCAACTCAGCTCATTCTGAGTTTTAGTTTTGAGACACTACAGATAGTCCTCGACTATGACCACATTGGGACTGGGATTTTTGATTGCTAAGTGATGTGGTTGTTAAACAAGTCATCACAGGGCCAGACTCAATTTTACAACCATTTTTATCATGCTTGTTAAGCGACTCACATGATTGTTAATAGTTAAACAAATCCAGCTTCCCCGATTGATTTTGCTTGTTTGAAGCCAGCTGGGAATGAGACAAATTGCAATCAAGTGACTGTATGATGCTGTAACTGTTGTAAATGCGTCCAGGTGTGACCATGTGACTGCGGGGGATGGTAAGATGGGTGGGGTTGTAACTTCAAGAATGGTTCGTATGTCACTTTTTCTAAGGCTGTTGTAACTCTGAAGTTTGAACCATCATTAAACAAATGGTCGTTATGTCAAGGACTATCAGTATAGCTTCAGTTTGAACCATCATTAAACAAATGGTCGTTATGTCAAGGACTATCAGTATAGCTTCAGTTCTAAGGTTATCTATATATAGATTTAAGATATATATATATATGCATGCAGGTCTTGGTGTATTCGGGTCTTTTCCCGTGTAAGATTGAGAGTATCTTGGCGACATTTTGACGAGGTCCCACTAGTCATCTTCAGGCTGGGGTCTTCGGTTTCGTGCTTGTGCGAGCAAAGTGTGATCGGAGCTGCCGTCTCTCTATATATATTGGTGTGTGTGTGTGTGGAGTGCTGGCTTAGTTGCTGTAGGTGGATTGGTTGGCTGTGTATATATGACTCTACTCTCTTTTCATCTCCTACATGTGACCTGCCTCGTCTTTCCTGAAGTTTTTCTTAGGCTGCATAAGCTCCTTCATCTATGCCCACCACACACACACACACACACACACACACACACACACACACACACACACGTTTGCAAATGCGTTTTAGTATCTCAGTCTAGGAATTCCTACCTAATTTTTGATTTCTTTCCCATGTTACTAAATTTTTGTCCATGGAATCCTACTTATTGTTCAGAACTTATTATGTTTTGCTTTCTTAAAGTTCAAAGTATGTCTGATTATATTTGATATTAACTACCCTTAATATTAAAACTTTGATAATTATACAGCAAACCCTGTAAAGGTATTGATGGTAAACAAAACAAAACCAAAAAACCTCAATGTCCAATTTACTTATTGATAATCATTTCCCATAGTACCTGGACAATCTCTCAACAAAATCTGCCCATAGGACTCAGAATCCTTTGTTCTTTCTTATGTATTAAGTTTTTTTTTTAATATATCCTGGAACAAGCTATTTGGGAACAGAAGATCACTTACCTCTGCAGGTGGTCCAATAACAGAAAGTAGCACAGGCAACAGTACCAGGCCATTAAGTAGCCCCAGAATAGTCAGGATAGTAAGCACAGCAAAGAAATACCTGGAGTGGAAGATGAAATTTAGTAATTGTTGCATATTTGGTTCATCTGCCCATAATATCTTCATTGCTACACCTAGTCATTTTTCCTACTACTTTCATTCTCCATTCTGGAGCATATAACACAATATGTAGGTTCACATGTCATGCTAAACCATAAGCAAACAAATCACATAATAGATTGGTACAGTGTATGAACTTAGCCAGGGGAGAGAAAAGCATTTATCCAGAAAGGAGTTGTGAGTCTCACTAAGTAGATCTGACCAGGAAATCAAACACCATGGAAGCGCTAAAACTGCTTTTATTGAGCTTGACTACAGTGGCTATACTAGAATCTGGCAAGTTTAATTGTGCTGCACCAATTCCCTCTTCCTTTGCTCCAGTGAATCAGGGAATCTGCCTGAACTGCTAATCTCTTAGGTTAATTTACTACTTGTACTTATTCAACTAGAACACATTACTGAAATTCCCCATTAGCCATCAGAAAAAAAAAAGGCTTCCTCTTACTGATACCCTAAGACAGTGTTTCCCAAACTTGACAATTTTAAGGCATGTGGACTTCAACTCCCAGAATTCCACAGCCAGCAACGCTGGCTGTGGAATTCTGGGAGTTGAAGTCCACATGCCTTAAAATTGTCAAGTTTGGGAAACACTGCCCTAAGACATGGACCAGCAGTTTCAAGTTGTTGTTGACATACCCCAGAAAGCCAAAAAAGGATGTTGACTCATGAACTAAGGCTTTGAGACTCTCCATAGGACACTTGCCATTTTGTTTGAATATATACAGAGAATCAATCTAATATTCAAATATACATATTTAATAAATGGAAAAGAAAGAACTGTACCTCAGAATGAAATCAAATTCTGAGCCTGCCAACATAAGTACACCAAGTAGAGTGGAAACAGCACCATCCATTACAGGAGCAAACATGTGCTCTAAAGCCACAGTGGAGCGCAGGTTCCGGCTGCCGATGGCCGTGAGAAACCCCTGAAAATAGATTAACGGTCAGAACATACCTAAAAAGGATACCTTACAGCAGGGCGGTCAAACTGCCAGCCCGCGGGCCGGATGCATCATAGCAAAACTGCTCCTATCTTATTGCCGGCAATGGCAAAAAAGTCGCAACACGTCGCAACACGTCATGTGACGTTGCGAGTTTGACACCCCTGCCTTACAGCCACTCTTAGAGACTACTAACTACATAGATGTTGAGAGGATCTAATAGCATGGATCAGTTCTTGTGCACAGAGGCAAGTAGCATTGACAGGAGTGCAGAAAGCCTCACCTGAAAATGATACTTCTCACTCTGGTTCTTTCAAAAGGAAAGTACGTTCTAATACAAAATAATCAAGAAAGATACCCAACTATAGAGTCAAGTAACATAGATTAGATTAAATTCTATTCTAACCATCCATATTAATTTTAAAGAGAGTACAAATCCATTTTAAACTATGGTACTAGTTCATTGGTCTCATTTTTTTCAGTGTAGATCTCAATAAATATTTTTTTTTTTAAAAATAAAAGCTTGTGCCCACAAAGTTTAATAACAGCAAAATGCATTCACACAATATTTTAGCTTGGTTACCCAATTAATGCATAATCTAACTAACAGGTTAGCTTTATCCAGCATACTAGCCATACCCAGCTTACTGCGTTGTGCAAATGAACCACTAGCATAGTTAACAGCAATAGCACTTAGACTTATATACCACTTCATAGTGCTTTGCAGTCCTTTCTAAGTGGCTTACAGAGTCAGCATATTGCCCCCAACAATCTGGTCCTCATTTTACCATCCTGGGAAGGATGGAAGGCTGAGTCAACCTTGAGCCGGTCAGGATCAAACTGCTGGCAGTTGGCAGAATTAACCTGCAATACTGCATTCTAACCACTGCACCATCACGGCTCTAATTAAGCATGTTTTGTCATCACAAGCCATTGAGTCTTATAGCAATGCAAATATACTTATATGAAATCTTACTTACCAGAGCTACATGTACAGTGAATTCCACACCAATGCCTACAGAAGCAATTAGGATGACAACAGGGATTGCACTCAGTTTGATGCCCATCAAGCCCATGATGCCAAAAAGCTCAACTGTCATCATTGCCAAAACAAATACCTATATATGAGAGAAATCACCATAAGTACAGCATTTAAAAAAATCAAACCCAATGGGAAAACAGAATGCTTATGAACACAAATCCACAATCGGCGATGCACGAATAACGTTTCTTGCAGAAAATTTAGAGCTGCAAAAAAAAGCTTTAAATACATATTCTGAAGATAGAATATAGCCGCTATCTGTTGTTTAAAAAAAAGAAAATTAAGTATGTGTACACTTGTGTCATTTAACTATTATGTCTTTATTATCCTTTTATATAATAGATGCTCTTAATTATCAATATATGTTCCATGTAGTTATGGATATTAATAAACCATAAATACTAAAGCCCCAAATATAGCTATTTTGAAAATAGAGTAATAAGCATAGGAATAATGTGACGAATTTTATGAGGAATAACCTTACAGAGTTATTGTGGAGAAAATAGGAGGCGGAAGGAGTATTATGTATATTGCTGCCTTGAGTTACTTATAAAGTAATAAAGGCAGGATAAAAATCTAATCAATACATCTAACAAACTAGATAATTAGTACTTAAAATTCCTTGCCGGCCATTAATCTTCCATAAACAGATTATCTGCTAAATTGTTAATATGATACAATGCAATATTTTTTAAAAAATAACAATACTTCTTAAGCAAGCAAAGGAAGAGCACTAGTGCAAGGCTGCAGATAGACATCCATTTACAATAATGGTTGAGGAGAAAAATGCGGTGTGCAAACTTCTATTAAAGTGGATCAGCATATAACACATCAGCTTGTAAATAAACTATATGTTAACTTAAACCTTTCAGAAATATTGAGAGAAAACTGATGGCAGAAATAGGTTTGTTTTTTGTTGCAAAGATACAGGCTAATCCAAATTTTATATGGTAACTGGCATACGTGTGTGTGTGTGTGTGTGTGTGTGTGTGTGTGTATGTACAATGTGAACAATCAAAATAATTTTTTTTTGCAACCAAAATAAATAATGCAAACTACATCGACATATTTTCAGAATTATATTCCTGTTGGAAAAAATGAGTATCTGAAGAATTGTAATGGTTTAGAATAGCATTTTGGGATAAAAATTAAACATTTTAGAGTATTGTATAGATGAGAATAAAATAGAGGCTGAAGGGGAAGACTAGTAAGGCAATAAAGTGAATCAGGGAAACAGTAGAAGTCTTTTAATCTCAGGAAGCTTCACACAATTTAACCTAAACCCACTTTTAACCTTGCCCCCTGACTTATGAGGGCTAGAAATGATATTGATCTTACAAAGCCAATTTGACAGTCATACAGATAATGTTTGAATATGGCACTTAAACGTCTCCGTTCTTCCCCAATAACCATAAATGAAAATACTTACAATGATACTGGCAGTCCAAGGATTGAGTAGCAGCAGGGTGCAGACCAGAAATGTGCAGGCCAGCACAATGCTGATGGCCTGCAGAAGCCAGTGGCGCAAGCCAATGTACTGCTCCCAGAAGAGGAATGGATATCCGCTGGGGTAGCTAAATACTCCACGCGTCTGGGCCACCTCATCACAGATGGCACGCACACTCTCTATAGCTGCCACGAAGTCCGATGTCTGTTGCAGCCCATTGAGGTAGAAAGGGAACTGAGCAAACTCCAGGGGCTGTGCAGCTGGGACTAGAAGAAGCAGAGGCAGCCATTAGGAAAAGTTACCTCCTGGCCCCCCTCTTGTTTCTAGGCCCCAAGATTGATTGTTTCCCCCTTTGCCCACATGCCCCCCAAATAGTGAAGCCAGGCAGGTGATTCCATTTGTGTAACTTTATGGCATGACAGAATGGGACTTGGGTTGAAACACTGAAATGTGACACAAGGCTGAATGGAAATGGGGCTTTCATAAATACTCACTTCGAAGGTTTTCACCGGTAGCATCATATCTATCATGGATCCATTCCGGGGGTGGCGGATAGAAGTTGGCCTGGGAAGCAGCAAAACCAAGCGGATCATTGCTCACCCACACTGTCAAGCAGATGTAAAAGATATCAGGGGGAATTATCCCATTTTCATCGACCAGACGGCGAGTTGTTAGCTGTGGGGCAGATGGAAAAATGAGAAAATCGAGCAGGATAAAACTCAATTTTCCAAACAAATGCAGATCTTTCATGTCCCTTCAAACCTTTATTTCCAAGAAACACCCCTCACATAACTGCCAGCAGGGGAACACTCCTTTCCCTATATTTATTTTGCAGAAATACCCTTCTTGCAGTTACTATATTATTCATTCTTATGGTTTAATAAATACCATTCATCTATCCACTTTTTTCTCCTTACCAACTTACTGAGTTAGTCTTAATGCTTACTTGATTTAAGTTGAAAGGCTCTTTCTTGTTGCCCGTCTGGATAAGGAGTTTATAAGCAAGAACACCATCTTCCGAACCATTCCGATAATTTTCCCTGGTGATGTGCCCAGCTTCCCAATCTTGGTCAAAGGCTGCCTGTAGATCTGGCATTCAGAGAATTTAAAATTAAATGACAGCTCTCCAAGAGATCTGCCCATATTTAGCACCTCTTCGTGCCATTGCTCTTATGCTTTATCACAATAATTTCAGCCATGTTGCACAGGAAAGGATTTACACAGTGAAGAGAAACTGACTTTGAACTCTTACACACAAGGCATTTAATATAGTTAAGCAATATAGGAATACATGATTATTATCCAACAGCTTACTGACAAATAAGAAAAGTACAATATGACTAATATGTGTGTCAACAGATGTTTTACCAGTGGGGAAAAGAAGGAAGAAAGACACTGTTTTCAAGAAAGTATTCCAGTATTCCTTAGCCTCCAGTCTCTGCGTACAACAATACTAACATTAACCTATAAGAACACAGTTTCAATTCTAAGGGATAGGAAATATTCTGTGGTTCTGTATGTCCTATATGGGCAGCAAGACATGCACACACATCACTTCAGTGTACAGATAAACATTGCCAGCCTAAGTTTACCTCTGTGCAAAATACAAACAAGCAATTCCTATATGAAACATAGCTCTGATGAAAATGGTGCTGGGGTTAAAGTGTCTACAGAAAGATCTATTAGGGTTTCTGGTAGCCTAGAATACATCTTATCCTGAGTGCAGTTATGAAATAAAGATATGAACTTATCTTCCCTGGACACATCTCCTTAAACAAAGTACAAAATCCTGGTTGACCCTGAAATACCAGTAAGTTTATACTCAAAGAATCCTGCACAGAGAACTGGAAAACATCATTTTTGATATCTTTAGAGACAGAGATTGCAGTCTAAGAAAAGAGAATTGCTAAAGAGAGATTAATTCACCTTGTAGCCAATCTCGGAAGTAGTGCAACCACATCTTTGGCAACTGGTGGTTCTCCTCACGTACTACATACTGGATGGCAGCAAAGGCCTGATGCAGGCTGTAAAGAGCTTCCTGTGAGCTTGGATAGTCAAAGCCTCCATTTGTTACCACAAACATGTTATAAAAGGAGAAATACTTGAATTGAGCTGAAATGAAGGCATGCTCCTTTGTACCTCGTGGTACAATATCCGTCAGGTAGAGTCCATCATGCACCTTGGTTGTACCATAGAGGCTGAGGCCCAGCAGGGCTAGGAATAGAGCTACCACAATTCCCTGAAAATGCAGGAGAAAAAAATGTGTCAAGATGGGTGTAAGCAAACAGTACCCCGCTTTGCATAATCCAACTTTTTCGCTTGTGTTTATTATGAGATTTGGCCCATTTGCTTCTTTGGAAATTGTATTTCCAGGGTTGGCCAGATGATGCTACTGAAAGCCTTTCGCCAGATTCAATTAGTTATCAATGCAGGATGAAACAGACAGACATGTTTTTGCATCTTATGCTGCCCAAAGGCAATCTAAGTATGATAAAATGGAGGGAGCCATTGCTCCCAGTTCGTTCAACTCCAAGTACTTTTTCTATGTATGAGGTGAAATAAAGTCATTGTAGCGTCTCCTTCAGTACAGAGAATGGCTATGGATGCTTCTTACAGCTTGAAATTTTTTTTTTTTTTAATGTTTCAGGAAGGCTGCTAGAAGAGCCTGCAGGCTGGTTATACTTAATCCCCTAGTGGGAGATCCTCCTGCCTGAATGAGTGGGATGAGTTGCCCTTCAGACCTAGCCATTTTATCTTAATTTACTCAGTTCTCATTCCGAACTGCCTAAATGTACAAAGGATCCATATCTGCTGTGATAAATATTTCCCTCTTGTGGGCTGACTTGGCAAGGCACGACCAACTCAAAGTTCGTTAGAAGCACACAGTGAATACATTATTTGCAAAGGAACACAACTCTCATTTCCAGTTGGTTGAGATAGTCAGGGAAATTTAGCTTCCAACTGGCTTTACTCCTTGAATTGCAAATTGTGTCCAGGACGATACAGTCTTTTTTTCCTACACAGATCAAGATGCCCCCACCCCCCCCCACGACTCCATCCCCTTGAGAATGATTCTGGGCGGCCTACCTTAGTTTGGCTCTGCAGCAGGATGGGCGCATATTTGTCACGAGCAAAGCTGGAAAGATTCCACCGACAAAGCGGCAAGGGTACACATTCTTGGGCTCCTTTGCTTTCATCTAGCTGTGCCAGAAGATCTCGAGTGGAACTGGCAGGAGTGAAGATTTGTGAGCCCAGAGGATTGGCAGGAAGGAGAGTGGAAGGAGTGGTAAACACATGCTGTGTGGGTGGTAAAATAGTGACTACATGTCTCCCAGAGGAGTCACACTGAGTAAAGGCCTGTACAGTGGTAGTGATATGTGTGCTGGCTGTCAGGGCTGGATGACCATGGGGATATGTCGGAGCAGTATGGTTGTCATTCACATCAGCGTATTCTTGCGGTTGGATCTGGATGACACGTGCAGAACAGAGGCTGTGGGTGGAAGAAAGTCGTTGAAAAGTGTTACAGAAAAGGCAGGTACACAAGATACATTTCCTAGTTATGAACAGACATAATTTCCAGACTCTGGAACGAAGAGAAGGGCAGCACTCCCACAATAGTTTTAGATCCTGCATGTCAATTTTTAAACCTCTGTTTTTAAGAGATACATTTTTGAATGATAAAACTAATATCTAGCTTTTGGTGGCTTTGACATTTTTCTTAGACCCGAATTTGATTTATTTTTTTTTGCTGTATATAAGTGCTTTTTCAAATTATTCTCCTCTCTTAGAAGCCCAGTTTGCAGGAAAAGTGTTAGAGACCTCGGAAAGATACTTGTCTTTTCACCCCACTCCTAAGACGGTACCTGTAGAAGCAGCAAAGAATATCAAGCCTCTTGTTTTCACGCCTGTGAAGATCCAGACTCAGAATGGCAGGAAAAATGAACAGCACCATGGCAAAGTTAAAAACAACCACTACTGCAGCCTGCAATAAAACAAGCAGATTTTTTTTTTTTTAAAAGAAAAGTTCTCACTGAAGATTCAAAGATCTTGAATCATGGAATCTTTTATAAATATGAGAATTTATTCTTCTACCACTAGTTCACTTTAAGTGAATGGATCATTCAGCTTACTAGAAGAGGCCAGAGATGTTAAGGGACAATTGCACATGACTTTATGCATCTCATTTGCTCTTCTGCGTAAGAGTTTTTTTTCACAAATAGGCAGTCTGAAGGGCACACTATGAAATGGAAGGCGATATTCTACTCTCCATTGTAGTTCCACTCATATGATTTGGTTCTTACATAAAAGCAGAGAAAGGCAGCAGGGGATTTCACCTGTAGGTGACTTCTAAGGTCCTTTCCAACTATGATTCTATAAGCATATTGTAGGAAAGCTGTTAGCAGAGGAGCTTACCTGTAGAGAGAAGGCACGCAATGCTGGGATAGGCACAAGGGCAGCCATGAAGAAGGCAATCATGTTATTGACAGATGTGAGTGCCACACTGGTGCCACTACGCCGTAGGCATTCACCAGTCCGTTCCTGGGTAAGAAATGTGAAAATGAGCAACACAAACTTAGAATGGATAGACAATAAGGGCTGAGGATACAACTGACAGTTCACAGGATCCCAAAGCCTAGACAGATATACTCACCTTGACAGGGACATGCTGACTAGTCTCCGTGAAGGCATGTGCTAGCAAGAACATGTCATCCACGCCAATGCCAAGTGCCAGGAAGGGCAGCACCTATACAGGTCAGGATGGAAGCAAAACAAAAAGAACATGATCAGAACCATCCAAATTTTGCAAAATTAGACATAGGTCTTAGCCTATGCAGGAAAGAGAATGGCTGGAAGTAGACACTGGGAATCATGGTAAATGTTTAGTTGAGCTTTTAGGCTCAGGCATTAAAAGATGCTAATATTTTCTTGAAAATTAAAACAGAGGTTTCTTAGGCTTAGTTCTAAATAGGGTGTAAAAGATCTGACCTTAAATGCAAAGGAACAACAAGGCTTAGCCCTAGCAATTTATGACTGTTCTACTTTTCCTCAGCTACCTCTGAGTGTGAAAACAGTAGCTAAAAGGCTACAGCAGGGGTCTTCAAACTTGGCCCTTTTATGACTTGTGGACTTCAACTCCCAGAATTCCTCAGCCAGGCACACATGCCTCGTTGAGGAATTCTGGGAGTTGAAGTCCACAAGTCATAAAAAGGCCAAATTTGAAGATCCCTGGGCTACAGGCTTTCAAGAGCTGGAAGCAGTATGGAGATAATTTTGGAGCCCCAAGAGTAACCACAAGTTTGAAATACTCTCTACAATTCAACTTATTCACAATGCCATGCTAGAATAATGGGTTAAATCCAACTCAATGTTTAATGTTTAAAAATCTTAACAGGCTGAATGACTAATATTGCAGAATAGGAAGAAAAGAAAGGATGGAGAATTTTTTTTTAAAAAAAAATCAGGAAATCTAGACCTCCCAAATGGGTTCGCATACCTGAGTGGTGGCTGCATTGAATGAAAGTCCAAGTAAGGAGCAAAGTCCAAGTCCTGCTGCTACTGAAAGAGCAACTAGGAGAACCCCAGCCAGGCCCACAGCACCCTGCGACTTGGAGCAGTCCCAGCGCAGCAGGGTGACGCAAGCATACGCTAGCTGCAAGGAGATAAAAATGGAAATTGTAAGGGTAAGAGTATGAATGGGGAAAGTATTAATTGACCATGATTTATAGTGAAATAAATAGGGAGGGAAAGATGGGAAGAAACTACTACGCACCATTAGCAGATAACCACCAGCCACACGGATGGCACTCACATCTGAAAAGGACTTCATGATATCACTGAGCGTGGTGGTAGAGAAGGCATGAATAGTCTGAGAATAATTTGCAGGCAGAGATTCCTGGGCCACCTGGAAAGAGACAAAATTTGTAAGGCAGTGAAAAAAAAATCTAAGAAAATATTTTGCTGACGTTCATATAATAAAACAATCTTTCTCACAGATACGCCTAGCACACTCCTAGGGAAAGCATATGCTCACAAACAAACTATTGCTCAATTAACTAATTGTCTTGAACAAAAACTGAAACATTTCCAGGGGGAAAAAAAATTCTCCCGCAATCATCCTCTCGCTTGGCATGCCTATTATGTCCACCCTAGAATCCAAATCAAGTAAATCTCTTTCTGATACATTCTGTACAGTCCTTATTTGGCTAAGCCTTTTGTATCACTAGATAAAAAGTCATAAGATGTCAAAGAGATTTTTAGGCTCGGATGAGTCTGTATGCTGCCACACATACCACATATTTCAATCTCAGCTTGGGCAATAATAAGTCTTTTTTTTCTTGTTAAAGAAAGAACTCTGCTTAGCACGTGATTCTATGTATTTACAAGCAGTCATGCACAAGCAGTCAGGTTTATATTTATAAACATATATTGAACACAGCTTTGCATGATATATAATTCCCCCCCCCCACTGACACATATTTGTGCCTCATTCTGCATGCAGCTTTTAAACTCTCATTCCATCTTTGCATCAGGCAGCCTATGTCGGGCAGCACATCAGTTCTACTGCCAAAATAACCTTATTGGCACCTCACCTCAACAAACTCCCGCTGCCAAGCTTCCAGCACAGCAGCAGCCTTCTCCTCACTCCAGCTGATATCATGTATCTCATAGTCATCCCGGTAGTGCTCATAAAGTTGTCGTGGGCTCATCAGCAGGAACATGCTTTGCAGGGCTTCAGCTCTGGAGAAAGAGAAGCTGGCTTAGAGACTCCTTCTTCTGCCCAAACTCTGCAGCCAAAGCATTCTGCAGAAAAACCAACAGCCTTTCCAAATGGCCTATGATGGCAAATACTGTAGGCCTATAATTTGTGCCTGTGGAGATGATTTCTCAGGTTGTTCACCATGGGTTTGTTCAACCCATTCCAAAACACAAGCCTTCATGTACTGAAAGAGACGCTGTTAGAAGGTTTACTTTCTAGAACAGTGGTTCTCAACCTTTCTAATGCCGCGACCCCATAATACGGTTCCCCATGTTGTGGTGACCCCCAACCACTTATACATCACCGGGTGCCAGGGGTGTGGCCAAAGAAAAGGAGGAAAAAATGGAGGACAGCCTTGTTTGGCGACCCCCGTGAAATGGTCATTCGACCCCAAATGGGGTCCCGATCCACAGGTTGAGAAACACTGTTCTAGAATATCTTGTACTTGCGTTTGAATATTTGAAAAGGAAAGATGTGGGCATGTTTTTTTTAATTTCCTGATTGCTTTGTTGCATTTATTTTTAAAATGAAAATGGCTATTTCTCTTCTCATCAGCAAACTTTATCTTTAACCATATACTGTATCTGCAGCCCTTTGCCTTGCCAGACATGAATGAGTTCAGGGACAGAGGCATCCACAATAACTTCTTTCTAGCATGCATAATGTACAAGAACATTCAATGATGATCCTGATCACACCAGGATGTAGAATATGTCCTACTATACTTAAGTAGCAGTAATCTGGCCAATAAATGGCTATGGATCCAGCACTGTACAAAGGATGACAAAGAAATTGGAAGAGGACCAAATTTACAAAGTGGTCTTAGTACAGGGAACAATTTTGAAGGTCAGATTTTGCTGAGAAGCTCAAATGTGCCTATATTTGAGCTCCCTCTAGAATCTTATGTTCAGAGTACTAAAAACAGGTGTTTTAGTTTTAAGATAGCATCCATGTTAAGTGGAAGGGGTTGGAGTGAGCAGTAGCTTCAGGAAGGAAGGGATAACACCAACACAGGTTTCAGGGATCAACATAAATCCCATGGCTGAGAAATGCTTGCCAGTTGTTCCTGGGGTCAGACCATAGACATGCACCCATCACCCACAGAAATTGAAGCCTCAGAAGCCTCAGGTTACATGCTGGCTCAGGGGCCAACACAGCACCATTCCAAAGTGTAGAGGAGAAAGAGTGAAGTCCACTCATTTCTCAGTCGCATGTGCTTCTTTTTGCATTGAAAAACAAATGTACTATACAACACTGGCCCTCATCTTTACTTTTCTTCTGTGCAAAGGGAAGTCATCTGATCTGCAGGCAGAATTTCTTAGCTGTCACATTTATTCCGAGACAGAAACCTTTCCCTAATATACAGAGGGGCTCCCAATCCAACTTACTTTTGCAATTTGCCTTGAGGATCCTTTACTGTGCCCCCCAAGATGAGTTCCTCTTGCCAGTGCATGTATTTCCGGGAGAAGCCATGGCAGCCACCTGTGAGTTCAGAAGGGATGTGTGGTCTCTGGCAGGCACAAAAAGAAGAGAATGTAAAGTTAGTATGCTACCGATATCAAAGAGTTTTCCATAGTAAGCGATAACCCTCTATACCCCGTTCTAGCTCTTAAATTAGAACCACTGAATCCCCAAGGAACCCTGTTTTGCTCAAGACTGATTATTTACTGCAAATGTCCACAAACTGGTTACCATGGCAAAGAAGAGTAAATGTTGCTTTTTGGATAATGTCAGATCCAAAATAAACCAAGAAATTATGAGAGGCAGCAAAACCTAAAGAAAAAAATATCAAATTGGGCTTATGAGAAAGCAAAAACATTGCAGTTTTATATATATTAAGTACTAATTTATTTCCTAATAAGAATTTAGGCTAACCTCTTACAATGAGAACCTCTACAAAATGTTTTATAGATGGCATCTCCCACCCACAAGATTGGCTAAAATGTGTACCAATGTCTCCCCTAAATGTTGGAAATGTAATCTGACATCATGTGTGGTGGGAATGCACGCAAGTTGGTGATTTTTGGAACAGGATGAAAGTATGGTTGGAAGAAATATTAGAGCGAGTGGTAGAACCAAAACCAAAACTCTTTCTATTAGGTTTAACTAAGCAAAAGTATGACAAAGGCGTACATTATTTAATGTTACACATTTTAACGGCTTCCAGACTGTTTTTTGCTCAAAATTGGAGGAATAAGGGAACTCCAATGGAAGAAGAGATCCTGCATAAAATTTTATCATGTGCTGAGATGGACAGGCTTACAATGATTATGAAAGACAAGACAGAATATGAATACTTCGAAATCTGGGACAAATTTTACTGTTGGTATGAATTAAGGAGAACTACTCGCACTTCAAGTGAATGGTAGAATTAAAAGATATATATAACTGTACATATAATTGTACATATAAATGTATTGTATAGAAGGATGAGGCTTATATAGAGGTTAAGAACGATGTATTAAGTTTTTGTACCATGAGAAACAAACTGTTAGGAAAATTGTTTCTGGAATGTTATGTTTGTCCATTTTTGTTTTAATTGTATTATGAATAAAAAATTTAAAAAAAAAGAATTTAGGCTAATCAGTTTACTTAACAAGGCAAATTAAGCCAAAAGTCTAGGGCCATCTGTTCCAATATCATTCCATGAGCCTTTTGGATGAGTGGAGTTCTGAACTTGTTTGCCAAAAAGACCTTCTAAATCCACACTGTTCATACTTTAATCTATCTCTATCTATTCCATCTGCTTTCAGGTTTTCCACACGTCAGTTATGAAAACAACAAAGCACCTAACTAGACAAACAAATCCAATCAGCATTGGATCATATCTTATCAAAATAAAGACATATAAAAAATTCTAGTGATCATGTCAGGAAACTCTACAGAATCTTTCTGGTTTTCTATGACTGTGAAAAATGAGCAAACACACGCTGATTGTATTTGGTCAGAAATCTTTCTAAATATAAAAATCCTCTTTCTGTCTGTGTTTGTGCACACACACACCCAGCCACAGATGCTTGACCGCCGGCACATTGGGTATTTCTTTCAGACCTAAAGGCATAATCTTTCCTTTTTCTGTGGTGGAAAAAAAGAAACTGGATAGCCATAATGATAACAGTCTGGCTTTCAAGCCAGGAAATGTGGAATTATGGCTGCAATCCCACCCTCCCACTCGCTGAGCCGGTCCTCCGTCACAGGGCTCCCAGTCTGTGTGTATGTCAGTGTTCACAGGCTGCTGCTCCCTCCTCCTCTGTTTTCCAAAAGCTGCCATGCTGCCATCTGTTCTGGGACACATTCCAACCATGATCACCTGCTGGTCAGCCCTTGCACTACGTCTGCCTGAATCAGCACTCAGTCCAGCCGGAGCTTCCTTGGCACAGGGCCATGCATCCCGCTTCTTTTATTTGGCCTCCCCATACCCTGAATAAGAAGGGCAAAGCTAATGAAATGGGGGACCTCACAGTTAGTTGAGCCTCTTGGGCCACTCATAGCCTGAAAAACATGCCTCTGGCCGTCAAGAAACTACCATATGGTTTCATACAAACATATATATGATAATGATATTTGTAAGTTCATCTACTTGATTCTCTCCTCCGCTCAACCAAGAGAATCATCTCTCCTTAAAGCCAATCTCTCTCATTTTCACACATACAACTTAATGTGTACTTGCAGTTATCTTGTAGCAAATAGTTATGAATGATGGGGGGGGCAAACCCCAAGTCTTTTATTTGGATAATTTATTTTAAGCACTTGACTATTCTTACTCATTTTTCCTTTATTTATCAAAAGAAGGCCAATTTGCAACTTCTTGCTCCTAATTTATAGGAGCTTAAATTTCTAAATTCTTTGCACTGATGGCAATTTTTGCATCCCTTCCGCAAAGTATTCTATATTCTTTTTGAGAATGGTCTGTAATATTATAAGGGTCTCCCCTTTCTTTTCTTTCTTTTTTTTAAAAAAAAATACTAACTGGATCATTATAGAAATTCAGCATTGTTACATCTTGCTGTATCTTGTCAGATCCAGTCATAATGGAAAATAAGCAAAATATTACTTGGAACAGTAAACTATTTGCTGAAATAGCAATATAAATAATGGCAATGACTCTCCAAGATTAGCAGCATGTACAAAAATATTAGGACTATGGGAGAGTCAGATTTAAAAAGAGATAATAGAAGCTGATTATTGCGCATTAAAGCATTGGCTTATCTAGCCCAATTTGATACAATTCTGGATTGGTATTGAATGGTGTTGGCATAGTCTTGGACTTGATATGCAACATTAAACTTCAGAAAACGATAAGAAAAATACCACAAAACAAACCAAAAACTTGAAAATTCATAATAAAAATTATCGGTGAAATTAGAGAAACAGCGAGAATAAAAATCGGTTTCTGATAAATGCTCAGAAATTATCTTTATATATTGTCAAAATACAGGGATATTTATCCTGGTTGAATATAAATGTCACTATTAAAACAGATTCCCCCCAGTAACTATCAATACTCTGAACAGCAGCTTCTCATGAAGAAATTCAATTTAGACTGGGGGAAACAACATAGGAAAATGAATTACATAGACCAACAATCAAGAAGTAAGCAATGCCCCATTCAAGGAATTGCTATACAAGCTAACAGTAAACAGCCCAACAGAAGAACTTCCAACACCAGCTTCCACCAACACTGACAGGGCAAGCACTAGTGCAGGGGTAGGCAACCTTGGCTCTTTTATGACTTGTGGACTTCAACTCCCAGAATTCCTGAGCCAGCATGGCTCAGGAATTCTGGGAATTGAAGTCCACAAGTCATAAAAGAGCCAAGGTTGCCTACCCCTGCACTAGAATATAAAATTGAGAGCAAACCCCACTCCTTATTAGCCCTGATGATGTTACCTAGTTTGGGTAATGAAATGACTGCAAGAAAACAACCAAGCTCAGAGAGCATCTCCTTTCAACCTCGAGCTACAAATATTCTCCTTTAATGGATTAAACCAGAGCTTTTCAACCTTTTCACCCATTGTACCACTTTTAGGATATAGCAATATCCGAGTACCGCCAGTCACCTAGCAAGGTGTCAAAAACTTGATGACAAAAAAAAAAAAGGAAAAAAGTGATAAATTACAAGTAGTCCTCGACTTACAACAGTTTGCTTGGTGACTGTTCGAAGTTACAATGGCACTGAAAAAAGTGTCCCCCAAGCCACAGCCAAGCAAGACACCTGCCTGCCCATCCGACGGCGCTCTTCCTCCTGTCCGAGGTTTTCATTGTTGTGAGCATTTCTGTTGAGGATTGGCAGCGAGGGTGGGGTGGGGGGTGTTTGGTTTTTATTCCCCCTGTCTGCTGGGTGGTTGCAGCAGGTCACATGACCTGGGGACACTGTGACTGTCATAAATATGAATCAGTTGCCAAGCATCTGAATGTAAATCACAAGACCCTGGAGATGTTGCAACATTCCAGCTGATTGGCACTTCTTCTGGGCTCAGCAGAAGTGCCAGGATCAGCGCCGAGCTCCAGCTGGATCCTGGTGCTGATCCTGGTGCTTCCACTGAGCCCTGACAGCCCCGAAGAAGCACCGATCAGCTGGAAAGCGGCACTGATCCTGGCGCTTCCGCTGAGCCCTGACAGCCCTGCAGCTCCAGCCATCTCTCGCTCAGGCTTGTGCAGTGCTGCCACCGGTTCAGCTCATCCCCCTCCCCTGCTACCACTTTTCTAGGATGGTCGCGTATCACCTGCCAGGTGCCAATGTTCCACAGGTGGTACCCGTACCACTAGTTGAAAAGCCCTGGATTAATTAACCCTCTCCCAACTCCCTCTCCTCCTTCAGCAAATTACTTTAAACTTAAACTTCAAAAAAAAAAAACATTAGGTTGGCTCTTATTCTCCCAAGTATACCAAAAATTGGGGGAAACTCACCTTCTGGCTTTGGCTGTTGGGAGCACTAGGAGGACACTCAGGGTCAAAAGGATCGAGACAAGGTCGCTCCATATAGGCCTGGCTAACCTCTGCCTTATCCAGCATCTCCTTGAATCCTTCCAGTGAGGCAAATTGACCCAGTTCCTCCATCAGTTGAATAGGATCTAAATTGGTCCACTGAATATCCCGCCGGCCTCTGTAGAGACAAAATGCTGTAGATTAATAGAATTCAAAAAGCATCAGCTGGCCCTACATATCTATCACGCTTAAAGTGGCGATACCTCTTATACTCATGCCCAATTTTTAAATCTTTCCAACCCTCAAAAAGCCACATCCACTCTGTCTGAATATGGACATTCCAAAAGAGGTACTTAAAGGTACAGTAATGAATCATTTCTCCTGCTCATGTGAGAGAGAATTCCACTTTTGGGAATCTGAGAGCGTTTAGAACTGAAAAAAGGAGTTTTGAAAAACAGAAAAAACAATAAATGTGCACTGAGGATGTGTGTGATGAGGACATGGAATACTAACTAACTGTTAGGATTAAAAAAAATACCCAGAACTGGGAACGGGACTAAAAACTGAGTGGAGTCATTGGCATTTTGAATAAGAAGCATTCCACACTACAGCACTGTACTGCAAATTTGATTGCGTTCCTTCTATTTATCCTTTTTCTTGCAGTGAAACAGTCATAACAATGTTACAGGGTTGAACTTTAAGTAGCTCTTTGCCACTAACTGCCTTAAGAGAGTTGCTATTGATTTTGCTCCAAAATTGCTGATCTTCATTGCATGGTTGGATTTTAAGAAACATTTTTAATCCTTTGTCATAAAAAAAAAAAAGGCATTTTAAAATTCAATTATTGGAGTGTTTTGATTTGTATTTTCTTTGCAAGAACAGCAGCAGCAGTCCAGTAGGCCAGCTATTATTCCAAAGAGAGTTCAGCTAAGAGGAAGCTGTAGAGGAGAACATAATTGCCCTGACTGGCTGCAAAAGACTTATTTAGGGATAGGAGGGATTTGTGCAGGGTTTGAACAGGCCTTCGTTCCCTTTGTCCCCATATGTTAACAGGATCAGGCATGCTGCTTTCCTTTTGCATGTAGTTTAGAGGGCCATTTCTGAAGTAATTGGACAGTGCCTCCCTGGTAGGACCAGTAAATGCAGTTATGCACAAGGATGAGAACATGAACAAATTACGCTTATTTGAAAGGAAAAAAGAGAAGTTTTCAACAGGAATGGAGAAGAAAGAGAAGAATTCTGCATAGCAGAAATGTTGTATACGTTCATCTGATGTATCTATATCGAAACTGCAGTAAGGTATGGATAACCATACATTGGCCTCTTATACACCCAGCATAATTATCCAATTTTTTTAGCAGTGACCACTACTGGGGGTACTAGCAAACATAAACAGAACTGCTTGTTCCCTTCTGCATCAGAATTCAAACAAATACTGAGGGTGTGTGATCTGAATGGGCCCCTGATCTTGTCTAGGCCAAGATGGAAGATATTATCTACACAATTCTGCTGATGTACTGATTATTCTAGTGGAACCTTCCAAAAATTGGTGTCCTCCAATGGTATTGGGATTACAGCTTTTGGAATTTACCAAATAATAAATATTGGGTAGAAAAAGAGAGTTGAAGTCCCACCATATCTAAACAGCACCCCACCCATCACTAATGCCTTTATCCACTCCTGTCCTATATCTGCTATGGGGTCACAGCTACGTCTACCGAAAAGCAATGAGAGGCGGTACAGCAACAACATCCCTTTTGTTGTGAACTTGATTGCCTTTTTTTAAAGAATAAAAATTATTCATACATCTCTTTTCCAGAAGAAGTAGTCCTGACGCTTGGAAACAAGTAGCTATTGAATTTCTGGGTCTGTAATAGTGTAATACAGTGTTTCGCAAACTTGACAATTTTAAGGCATGAGGACTTCAACTCCCAGAATTCCAAAGCCAGCGTTGCTGGCTGTGGAATTCTGGGAGTTGAAGTCCACATGCCTTAAAATTGTCAAGTTTGGGAAACACTGGTGTAATAGTATGTGGGGATGACTTTGGCAGACTGGGCCCAGAAATGCTGCCCAGAAAACAGTCAGATCAGATAAGAGGCAGCATAGTCTGCAGCTGGCTAGTGCATGGGACAAGTATCTCAGAACACTCTCTCTAATTTCTTGGGGGGGGGGGTAAAAGGGAGGGGAGCATTGTATTTTCAGATTTGCAAGATTCTGAAATCTTGCAATATAACATACATACATACATACATACATACATTACATACATACATACACTTATACATGTACACACACTAACCTATGTATATTTGTATATATAAAAGCATAAACAGGTAATCCTCAACCTACGACCACAACTGAACCCAAAAATTCTGTTGCTAAGCAAGTCAGTTTTGAACTGAGTTTTGCCCCATTTTACAATTTTCCTTGCCACAGCTGTCAAGAGAATCACTGCAGTTGTTCATTTACTAATATGGTTGTTAAGTGAATCTGGCTTCCCCATTAACGTGGCTTGTCAGAAGGTTGTAAAAGGTGATCACATGACCCCAGGACATTGCAACCGTCATAAATGTGAATGAGTTGCCAAGCATCTGAATTTTGATCACGCGACTGTGGCAATGCTGTAACTGGGCACTATCTAACAAAATGAAATTCAGTGGTGAAAAAAGCAAGGTTCTACATTTAGGCAAGAAAAAACAAATGTACAGGTATAGTATAGGGCAGCGGTTCTCAACCTATGGGTCGCGACCCCATTTGGGGTCGATCGCCCATTTTTCGGGGGTCACCAAAGGCGGCGATCCGCCATTTTTCACGGCGCCGTGCACGTGCGCCGCGCACGGGGGGCGCCGTGCATGCGCACTGCACATGGGGACGGCGCCGTGCACGCGCGCCACGCATGGGGGCGCCGTACGGCGCCCGTGTATGCGCAGAACGTTTGTGTGACGGGGGTCGCCGTCACACAAACGTTGAGAAGCACTGGTATAGGGGATACCTTGCTCAATAGTAGTAACTGTGAGAGGGACCTCGGAGTCCTAGTGGACAATCACCTAAATAGGAGCCAGCAATGTGCTGCAGCTGCCAAAAAGGCCAACACAGTGCTAGGCTGCATTAACAGAGGGATAGAATCAAGATCACGTGAAGTGTTAATACCACTTTACAATGTCTTGGTAAGGCCACACTTGGAATACTGCATCCAGTTTTGGTCACCGTGATGTAAAAAAGATGTTGAGACTCTAGAAAGAGTACAGAGAAGAGCAACAAAGATGATTAGGGGACTGGAGGCTAAAACATATAAGGAACGATTGATGGAACTGGGTATGTCTAGTTTAATGAAGAGAAGGATGAGGGGGGACATGATAGCAGTGTTGTAATATCTCAGGGGCTGCCACAAAGAAGAGGGAGTCAAGCTAATTCTCCAAAGCGCCTAAAGGCAGGACAAGAAGCAACGGGTGGAAACTAAGCAAGGAGAGAAGCAACCTAGAGCTAAGGAGAAACTTCCTGACAATTAACCAGTGGAACAACCTGCCTCCAGAAGCAGTAAATGTTCCAACACTGAAAGTTTTTAAGAAGAGACTGGACAGCCATTTGTCCGAAATGGTATAGGGTTTCCTGCCTGAGCAGGGGGTTGGACTAGATGTCTGCCAGATGAACTGTGACTGCAGTTTTCAGAGTGCTTAATCAGTGTGGCGTATCAGAAAGACTCCAGGTCAGGGAAGGCTGATACAGATTCTCCCGATCCGTCTGGTCTGCTAGCCAACTTCTGCGGAAAAAGTCAGTTCTTCTCCCTTCTGTCAGTTTGTTCAAATCAAACATAATCTGTCTTCAGAGCCTTCTAAAAAAGTGATTTTCTCTCCCTAAACCTGTAGTGAATTCCTTAGTGTTTTCCTTGCCTAAGGCTATTATGGAACTATATAATTTAACTTCGAGAATCAAAAGAAAAGGTGACAATAATATTAATAAAATATCGATTATTAATAAATTATTAATAAAATAGATTGTTTTTTTTTCTGAGATCTCCAACAAGAATAATGAAGAACGTCTCGAATTATTTTTTTTATGGTAATGGATAAATACTAAGCTCAAAGATGGGAAAACGATGAAAACTCAGGCAGAGTAAATCTTGTCATGGTTTTGGCAGGACCACTCTCCAATCATTCATGAAATCTCAGATCCCGAGAAGTTTCCTCCTTGCTTGATTCCCACATTCCAAACAGCCCAGCTCCTGCTCCTAAAGAGAGCTTCTTTTATCTCCTGTTTCTTGCTTCACTGAGCCAAGTCCAGCCCTTTTGTTTTTCCATAGATTGCTGCCTTTTGTTCTCCAAATTTTCACTCCCTTTACGTTAAAAGGAGACGGGAGAAGACAGAAGGAGAGAGACCCTCAACTGAACTGAAGCGGAAGCTGGAGCAAAAGCTCCCCCATTTCAGACATTCAGAAGAAAAACTTTTGGACGTGTGTGTGTGTGTGTGTGTGTGTGTGTGTGTGTGTGTGTAAAATATTTAAAGAATAAGAAGTAGAATATAAGATGGGAAAGGTAAACTCAGAAACCAAAAGACAAGTGCAAAAACAAGGGAGCCAAGGCTTTACATTTAATCCTATCCACTGTAGTGTCTGAAAAGAACTAAACAACCTGGTCAACTGTCCTTTTTGTACAAGATGTGTAATACATATGATAATCTACTTTAAAAAAAGAGAAAGGTTAAGGATATTGTAATCAGGTGGTTCCTTAAAATCTCAAGCATGGTTTTGGCAGCTTGAAAGAAATCCCGCTACATTCCTAGGGGTGAAGAATAAATCTCCTCTTATTGACCCCAAAGAGCCAGTAACCATGTCATCTACATCCAATGCAATGAAATTAGATCCTGTGCTGCTTGCCTTGGATTTGTGCTGCTACTGAGTTCAAGGGGAAAGCATTGCACGTCCCCATAACCCTTCTGGCAGTTGGATGCTGTAATCCCTCCCTCTTTTAATGTTTTTGCTTTAGGAATCTGTTTTCTCCTTCTTTACTCACTGTCCTCTTCCACTCAGCAGCAGACTGAATAAAGCTACTATTCCATTTGTTGGACAACTTGGAGCTTTCAAAGTATCATTAGCATGAGAATATGTGGTGTTGCCATTTGCTAACAAAGCATAAGTCTCCAGGGCCCCTAACAGACAAACACACTTGTAAACAGAAAGAATGCCGGTAATTGTCCCTGGGCCTCCCTCCCCCTCCCCTGCAGAGGGCTGGTCTCCACAACTTCACTCCCCCCCCCCCGTTCATCCCCCATTTTGTACACCTTAATAGAAACATAATTACAAGGCAGCAGAAGCAATAAAACAAAGCAACTGGGCCCAGAAAATTTGGGGAGGGGACTGATGACAGCAAGTGGTACTCCCAGCCCCCTTTGATTTGGAAAGAGGACAAGGAGCGGGCCTTGGGGCTGTAGACATGAGCCCAAAATCTGGGGCCGGCTGGAGGACATTATATTTCTATGTTCTCACCCATAGATTGCTATCCTCTTGCATTGAAAGCAGGTGAAAAGGGCGAGCTATATTTCCTTTTCATGTTTTGTTTCATACAAAAAGAAGGTAAACAGTAACACTATCGAGGTAGAAGACAGCTCTTTCCCTATCCAAATCAACATTACAAAACATTTCTGCCTATGCCTTGGTATCACATCCATTCTTCAAAAGGGAGGATACTGAAAAGCTTAATTCCTGATATATCTACCCTGAGATCACTCAGAATATCCACTGCTTCCTTATATAAGCAATGATCTTGAATACATTCTGCCATGTAGGTAAATATCTTGAAGGCACCAGATGCAAAGTGAACCTTATCTAAAGTTGTCAAGGAAGAAAACTATTATCAGACAAGGATCCTATGGTTATCTGTACAGGAAATCTGTAAAGGACAAAATTTTTTCAAAGGAACATTTCAAAAAGGTCCCCTTTCCAATATCATCAGCTAGACTCTGTTCTACAGTCTGCCCAAATTAATCCAACCTTTCCCCTCAGGTGTCCAGGATAATTGAGTTTAAATGTTGTGCCTGAACAGTACACAATTTAAGAGTAAACCTTTGCAATGCTCTCTTTATGGTGTTTGAGCTAGAACTCCCTAGCCTCCATATTGTAGCTTATGGCCATTCCTTATCACAAATATTCAACAAACCTTTCCCTTTTTTAATCAGTGATCTCAAATCAGTAACACTATCCACCCTTATTGGACATTACTTAGCAAATAGAATCCTGTAATACAGTAAACTAAGAACTGGAAATCCTATATTTAAATCTCTACCAACTACAAACCACCAGGGAAGTCTCCATTTCCTATTTAACTTTCAATAATATGTCCTTTAATATTAAAGTACAGACAGTAGCAGCTCACTCTTTCGAAAAGGAAAATAGCAATAAAGGGAGGAGACTAAGGGAAGTGGGTAGAACAGAAAAGCGGTATGCTGATAGCCAGCACCCTCACTAATCTTCACAATGACAATGTCACTAGAAGTAGGTTGCGTGGCAGTTTCCTCTGTGAAACTCTGACCATATAAGTTGGTTATCATCGTTATTGTGATTATGTTAGTTAAGTGTTTTGAGTGTTTACAGGAAATGTTTCATAATATTATGAATAATATCAGTAACAGCCTTTCCTTTCTCACATTTACAGAAACTGGGTTTTCCCAAACTTCTTAGCCTTGTCAGTTAGATCAAAGAGTTGGGTTCATACTTAGTATGTGGTACAAAGCCTGTCAATTTGGTTTCATTCTCTTCAATATATTGAAGAAATGCAGAAAAAAATCAATTAAGTGACCAAATTAAGTTTGTTGCAGAACCCAGCTAGTTTATGGAACAGCATCACAGTGCTCTCATTAGCTGAGGGATTCTTTGAAAGAAAATACTTTTGGTGAATATTATATAGAAACATTTAATGGGATAAATAGGAAATGTGAATTAGAGGAGGGCAAGTGTTATTACTTTGCACAATTATTATCCTATGAAAAAACAAAGCAATGGTGGCTTATCAAATTACATCTTTTCATCGGAGTTATGCAAAGTAAGGGCAGAAAAAACTCTAATCATAATAGTCACTGCTTAATGTACTTTTCTCATAATTAGGATCCCATCATATGGCTGCAGGACAGAGGGACAGAATGATATAGCAAAAAAAAGCAGACACTTACGGTAGATAAGCAGATCCGCCTTGTAGTTTGGCACCATCCCAGAAACAATCCAGTGGAGTCACAATAACACAAGGGAAGAGCTTCTCAATCATCTGGTAATAAAAAGAATAATAATCATGACACATAAATATAAATTCATGCACCCAGTTCTCATATGTCTATGGAGATTCTTTCCTCTATTTTAATTTATTAACATTTTTTTCATTTTACTGCCTACCTGATTACTTATTCTGCAATTCTTTCTCCACTATTACTAAAGTCTAAAAACTTATATTGTTTTTTTGGGGGGAATAGAAATTTGCCCTGGGAACCATCTTAAATACAAAGGAGTACCATCTTAAATACAAAGTCTACAATCTAAATAACACCTTACTCAGTAAGATATTGAATGCCAAGACCTAGCGTTAGCTAGTCAAGTCACGGGAAGTCTTTAAGGATAGCACCCTGACTAATATGACAGTAATTTGGTGACCTTGTACAAAGCGTCAAACACTGCAGTTTCTTACAATCCAAGCCTAAGTAATATAAAATCCTTATTCGCAAAGATCAGGCACTGCTGAAAACAAAGAAGGACAAAATATATTTTCCTACTCCACAGAATGGAATGGAGATAAAAATTCACAAGTAGCCAACATCTTGAATAGAAATAAGTGAATATTATTAGAATAAAAAATCCAGTGTATTAAAACAATTTCTGAATCCAAAAGGATGACTTGGAAAGCTGCTCTTATGTGATGGCATTTAAAAAAGATTCCACCTATTCCCATAGCAACCGCAAAGATCACCTCTAGCATCTACTCCATTTTCCAGTAAAACCAGTAATCCTCCAGGAAATTACAATATTCGACAAAGAGAACTTTCCCACATGTTTCACCTCCTTTCTATAGCTACTATACAATGTTGGGACAAACGGGTGTTTGTTTTTGTTTTGCCTGGCAGTTGCATAGATATATGCTATAGATCAGTGTTTCTCAACTTGAAAATGAGTGGACTTCAACTCCCAGCATTCCCTAGCCAGCCCATGCCAGGTGAATGCTGGGAGTTGAAGTCCACCATCTTCAAGTTGCCCAGGTTGAGAAACACTGCTTTAGATCCTTAGGAGGACATGTTTGTGCAACTGAAAATAGTTGGCCTTCGGAGGTGGGTAAAGGTGTTCATGGACATGTTTTGCTTGCAGAATTCTAGTGATTCCCTTATATACTCACCCGTGCAATCATTCCATTTTCAATTATTGGGACGCCTGATTTGTAGCATATTTTGTTGAGATCCCATGATCTAAGAGTAAGAGCAAAGACAGTGAACATCAGGAAAACAGGAGTTCTGGGAGAGAATTGTCCTAACTAATACAAGATTTATATGAATATATTTAAATGAGACTTCAATATATTTCAAGACAATACATTTCTGAACATCAGACGTTGGACAGGAGACCATGATTTGTATGCTCTATTTATGATTTTGTGGCAGCATGTAGTTAGTAAGTGACTACAACAGAATATTGAATTAACTAGATCTTGGTTGAATCCAATAGCGGGTAATTCTGCAGATCAAGATTGCTTGTGGCTACATTACTATAGAAAATGCAGTTCAAAGAATCATAGAAAAGCCCAACTACTTTCCCAGCTGCCATTAGCAGATGGAAATCTGCAATTATTGCCATCCGCCAATTGATTTGCTGCTGAGTAAGGGATGATCATAGGTATTCTGACTGTCTTGTTGGTAAGTTAATTAGCAAATTAGCTAATTGTCAGGCAATAAACAGTTGATTCTACATCTAGCAGAATTCTGGAAAAAGGAGGAAAATGTCATGGCTTCTTTTGAACTGCTCAAAATTAGCAGGAGGAAACCAGCCACCTCCAGCAGAATTGCTGAGAGGAAAGGGATGGTGCTACTGAGCACTACCCAAACAAACAATAAAACTGCCGATTTCTTGCAATGGAAAACCAGAGATCTGCAAGTACAATTGCGTGGGAGAAGGGCTTCTAATCTAATGAATGAATGAAAACAATCCAACAGAACAATTCTTATTATTAGTGTAATACAGCTGCTCCATTTCAGACTTACTTTCCAAATAATAAGACTTGCACTTTACTAGCAGCCAAAGCAGCTTCAAGATGCATTTCCAAGGCATCTGGAGTTAGAATGTTTTCTCCTTCCTGTTTGGGAGTTTGTATTAGCATCTGGGATGTGTAGAGAGATTCTTCACCAAGTTTTTCTCTTGTGTATCGGAGCTCTTGGCTGACACGACTGCCCTCTGGAGAGAGAGAGAAAAGAATGGAACCAATATACCTTTCTCTTATCTCTGCCCCTGTTAAATCAGCTTTTACATTATCATCAGTCAAGATATTAAAATTGGGAATATGTTCATATCAAATGCAATTTGGTTAAAGTTTTACGTACTACTAACTTAATTTTAAAAGTAGTCCTCAACATATTAACTATTTGGTTTGTGATCTTCTGAAGTTACAATAGCTCTGAAAAAAGTGACTTATGACTGGTCTTTGCACTTTTGACTGTAGCAGCGTCTCCATAGTCATATGATTAAAATTTGGGTGCTTGGCAACCAGCATGTATCTACGATGGGTGCAGCATCCCAGGGCAACGTGATCATCATTACGACCTTCCCAGCCAACTTCTACTGTAACTACCAAAGTCAATGGGGGAAGCTAGATTCGTTTAATGACATGATTTACTTAACATCTACAGTGATTCACTTAACAATCATGACAAAAAATATTGTAAAATTGGGCACACCTCACTGTCTTGCCTAGCAGTGGAAATTGTGGTCCCGATTGTGGTAATAAATTGAGGACTACCTATATTTGTTCCAGATTCAAGATGAATAGTTCAGTAATGCATTTTTCTCATGCTCAGACTTAAAATGCAGATTCAACATTCTAATATATGTCATAGTAAAAGACTTGAGCCATCACAGGGAGTATCTGCACCAAGCTAGCATCAATACCACAGGGTCGTATTCACACAATGTCATTCTTATTGGATATCCTAGCTGATTAGTAGGATCACTAATCTCAGCCTGCTGAATTGTCTGGTAGATTCCACAGTCTTACCAATGAAATCTAAATCCTTCTAGGCAGTTTTACAACTTTCATAAAAAAAATTATCTTGGTTGTTTCCCCCTCTTTACATAAGCAAAATTTATCAACTAACTAACTGAAATACTTCAGGTCAGTTTCAATCAATTCCATAATCTCTCTTAAAAAAAAATCCTGCAGATAAGCAAAATGTTTTTCCTAAATTTTTCCCACATTGCATTTTTCAGTCTTTAGGCTCAAGCAAGCTGTCTCTCATCTCTCCAACCCAAAGGCTGTTCATTGCAACTTACAGCCATGGTTGCCCCATTTGGAAAAGACTTGGGTTGTAGTTTTTAATTAGAATATATATGAAGAAAATCTGATCTGATAGTCAGGTTGCTTTGGTGTAATGTCAACAACGCAGATTTATGTACTTTCCAAAACAGACAAACACATAGCATGTACTGAAAATAACGAGAAAACAGTTATTTTTCCTTTTTTTTTTTTTTTTTTTGCAAAATGTAAGGATATGTTCATTAGTCCAGGAATTGCTGTAGCTCAGATGAAGTTACTGATTGACTGAAAATCTTTACACTTGCCTGTTGGCCAGCTGGAAAGATTCATGGTGTTCCTTGCCTGTTTGTAACATTCTGAAATCAGCAGGAATAACTCTCACTGCACGAATGACTTCAGAATGCCTTGAGAACTTGGGGAGTTGAAGCGGTAACATTAAAAAGTGCTATAAATGGAGCTAGACAGAAACAAATGTTAGCTCTGTTGAATCTTGAAAGATATAATGTAAGAGATGTGCTCAATTCCCATTCTTCTTTGAAAGCAATAGATGGAAAAAAAAATTAAATATATCAGCTCCATGGCAGGAGGCTGCAAGAATGTAGACAGTTGGATCAAGCAGATCCAAAACTGGTTCTGATTTACTTCTGCCCTGAAATGGGACCTTCTGTTGGCTACCCCCACTCCTTTTCATCTGCCAAAGAACAGCAGATACTTACATTATGATGGAGTTGCCTCAGCAATGCTTTTATCTGTGAAGATTCTATAACTTGCAGTCCTAATGTTTCCCAGCTATCCATTTTAAGGGATTGGGATTACTTTTAACTGTGTAATTAATTAAAACTGCCTAAAATACACAAATTAAGATATGCATAATGCTAAATGCATCTAGCATTTTAACATTTCTAAATTTGACAAATGTAGTTTCAACAGTTATCAACTCTCTCCCTTCCTTTCCAATTATTTTTCCACTAACATTCACCTGCCAAACTGTCTTCCTGCTTTGTGGAGGATCTTTCATCTAAAGAAAATATTGGACAAAAGCATACTGCAAGGCAGCAATTTCTGTGGGTTGGGCCTAGGAATTGGCTCTTATAGATCTCCCACAACAGATTTCAGCTTTAGTGGTTATGATGTTTTCTGTTTGTGTTTTAAATAAAAGTATAAAGGTATGGTAAGACAAGTGGACAGTAAAGAGGACGAACTTGATGGGGAATTCCATCGAGTTCCATTAGCAACACAACAAAAAGAAAAACATTGCTTGAGTCTAAATTATGGGGAAAATTACAAAAACACCTCAGATAGACCCTCTTCCAATCACATAAATCTAAAAAAAGAAAGAGGGGAAGCACAATTAGATTACTATAGACAATATAAATAAAGAGTTCCATGGACTCTATTTCCTAATCTAGTTTACCTTGAAGAGTAGCAAGGAATCTTCCATATGCAAAACACAGTGTGGCCATTAATTTTGTGACATTGAAAATTGACTATTGTACATTGTAGTGTTTCAGAATTCACAGAAATTGTATAAGAAATGGGAGTTTTTATGCTGTAAAGTGAAACAGGATGGATTTCAAAGAGCGAAATACTTATTTGTACCAAGAGAGGTACAATATATCTTGGAACTGTAGAAAACTTTAATGATGACCTCCTACAACAGTGGTTCTCAACCTGTGGGTCGGGACCCCATTTGGGGTCGAATGACCATTTCACGGGGGTCACCAAACAACGCAGTCCGCCATTTTTTCCCCTTTTCCCTAGCTGTCCTACTCCCTCTTATTGGTGGCCACACCCACTTGGGGGTCACCACAACATGGAGAACTATATTATGGGGTCACGGCATTAGAAAGGTTGAGAACCACTGTCCTACAAGGTGACTGTTCTTCTTGTCCATCAAATTCACATAAAAGTAGTCTCTTAGACATTCTTATGTCAAGTGCCTAAAAGCTAGTACAGGCAGCCCATTTCTGACCCTTGCCTAGGTGCCCAAAACTGTGCCATTCCAATATTTTATCTCTTTAAAAATAGACAGCTTTCAATGATGGACCATTGCTCTCTCAGAAATAACTGTGAGAGCAGAAGATAAACAACTCCAAGTTGTAAACTTAAAACATCCCCCCCAAACTGTCTGAAATTGTGCTGCCAATCCCACTTTGCCACCAGATTTGAAGAGTGGTGGGGGTTGAATTTTTTTTAAATATGAAAGTGGAAGTGACTTGCCTCCAGAAACTTCCTGCTTTCTTTCCCATTCTTAATACTCCTAAAAGCCAATCCACACATTCCAGAAGGGTGATGGCATCCTGTATAGTTTTCCAGCTAGTTAAGGCAATGTGTTATAGCCCAAGACTTGAGAAGTTGTAATCTTCATGGCTCTCTCTGTAGTCAATCCTCTGTTCAGTTCCCTGGGCCTTAAATATTCTTACAAATCTCTTCTCGACACACCTATATGTCTTTGGGCAACTCATTCCCCTTTGACTCTGCCTCCACTCATAACTAAATGGGGATCACTTACTGGGAAACAAAGCAATACTATTCCTGTTGCCTACCATTAGCAACATTGCTGGCCCTCTTCTAGATACTCCCATAATAGTGTTGATTTATCCAATGAAGTAACACATGTACAGCTAGGCACTTCATCTCAAGACAAACATAATGACTCAGACTAGAACCAACACTGCTCTCCTTACCCCGCCACCAGAGTCAAGATTTGCTGCATCACATCTTAATGAAGTGGGAGGGGGATATCTGCTAAAACCTCTTGCCAATTTATCATAGAAACTCATGAATATCACAGATGAGTTTAGAATATATTTTGGAAGCGCAGTGAATTCAGGCTGAGAAATGCCCAAGTCTCTGGTCTTATTGTCATCTTGGACAACCTGAGAGTGCACCTGGCACAGGCATGTATCCTCTGTGGCTGCATGATGCTTGGTGTAAAAGATGAAAATGGATAGGTAAAGCAGCCTTTCAGGACTATTCAATTAACTGTTCTCTCTTCTCATTAAAATGCATCTCCCTCGTATTCTTCCCAGGATCCCCATGTTGAAGATATTATTTTAAGCTACTTCTTATAAAACTATATTTCTCCACTTTGCTATAAAATCAGTTACTTTAGGGTACCAGCAACTTTATATTCCTTTTGTAAATTCACTGTATTATTTTAAAGGAACTGACCTTCAGTTCAAAGGACCCCCACAAAAATGACACAATTCCTATGTTTTTGGAGAACGGTCCTACTGTTAAACCAATCCCAAACCATTTAAATCTACAAAACAAATATGTTTTTGATCAACTTGTACCATATTGTAAGGGCACCACTGCTATTTTATTTTATGTAGACAAGCAAAGCTCAAGGCACAGAACTTCCAAGACTGAATTCTATTCTGAATCACATTTTCCCACTTTCATGTCTAATGCTCTGTTTTCTTAGTCTGCTAGAAAACATACACAACACACATAGTAGACACATTTCAATTGCTAAAATACTACAAAAGCTGTTAACAGAATTTCACTGACAAAGCAATTTTCTAATTAAAGTTAGCTTATTCAGAAATATCAGTAACAAAGAAATATTACACATCCTCACTAGCTACAATTTTTAGGGTTCATTACTGAGTATGAAAACCATATTGTGAAAAAAATCAAAATCAAAATGATGATGCAAATATGCCTTGTGGAAGAGTTATGGTCACAACCAAAGTCTTGCACTAGAAATAGTAGTAATATTAGTAATAATCAAGTTGCTACTCAACCTACCAATAATTTAGCTAAATTAAAATAAAGATAACCTAAATATCTATATTGTTTACAGCAAAGGTTTTTGATTATCAGGGCATTTCATTATCAGGGCATTTATCTTTGGCATAACTTTTTAAAAACATTTTTAGATTTGTTAATGAGGACATTAACAAAAACTATAATTTAA